GGCACTGATGAAGGGGGTGTGTTCAGACCCCTGGAACATGTTGGCTGTTTGTATTATTATTATTTTTATTAGGGATGCACCGATACCGGTATTTCGGTATTGAGTACCGATATTTTTTTTTTCTGCACTATACCCATACCGGAAGTCCCATTCAGGAAGCCAGGTGGCGTGTAAAGACTCGCCACCTGGCTTCCTGATTAGCAAGAAAGCCGTCCCCATGCTCCCTCGTCATGAGCTGACGAGGGAGCATGAAGCCGGCTTCCCGACCAATCAGAAAGCCAAGCGTCCCGTCATTACACGGCGCCCGGCTTCCTGATTGGCCAGCTTCCCGACCAATCAGGAAGCTGGGTAGCGCATCATTACACGCTGCCTGGCTTCCGGATTGGTCGGGAAGCAGGCTCCACGCTCTCTCGTCGCAAGTGACGAGGGAGCATGGAGCCGGCTTCTCGGCCAATCAGGAAGCTGGGCAGCGTGTAATGACGTCCTGCCCGGCTTCCTGATACAGGAAGTATCGGGCTAAGCATCGGAGTATTTGGGTGAGAACGAGTACTCGCCCAAACACTCGGTATCGGCACCGATACCGATACTAGTATCGGTGCATCCCTAATTTTTATTATTATTATAATTTTTTTATTATTATTTATTATTATTATAATTTTGACTTCGCAAATGCATTATCTAAAATAAAAAAAAAATAAGAAAAGAAAAGATGCCCCATATTGGAAGCAGCAAGGGCGATAATTCCAAGACACTGGAGGCAAGTGAACACCCCTGAGATCCGGGAATGGGTACTGGAATTGAAGTTGTTTTTTTTTGTTTTGTGTTTATTTTTGAATAAATGGGGTAAGAGAAAAGGCACGGGGCCATGATTGAGTGGCATTCCAGACAATATAGTGCTTTTCGCCCTCTCTTTTCATGGCTAGATAAGTAATGGTGAAGGGTCAGTTTATCATCCAATCAAGCATAAATATGAGTAGTTTTTATTGGTTATGACTTATTTTCCACCTGTAATTAAGAAGAAATCAAGAAATTTTAGATGTGAAATAGCCATATATGTAGAGGTTACCGATATTATTATGTAATTTATGGAACTGTATGTGAAATTAAACAAATAAAAACTTATTATGGAAAAAAAAGAAAAGAAAAGAAAAAAAAGTTTTTATACTTTAAGTGCATTGTTATTATAGGAGAAGCAGTTTGCATAGAAGGACATTCCTTGTGGAAGTGTAATATTCTTCTCTCTTTAAATGAGCCGATGGCATCTGGGTGAGGCTTCCTTTTGGTTAGCAGCCGGCTGGACTGACACACAGAGGTTTATTAGGGAGGCTCCGGGAGGGACTCATATGTCCCAATGGGTGGCTACAGTAAGTTGCAGGATCTTGCCTAAGAAACCAATACATCCAGCAAACCTGCCCCCTCCTGCACCCTCCGTGTGTCACACTGGTCAAGGAGCAGGGGGCTCTGCAAAACAAAACAGTCCACACAAAAATAATGTTTTCCTTTTGGTACATAGCAACGAGCAAAGGGAATTTGGCAAAACGACGCAGAAACTTGCTTTAACCCTTTCGCTGCCAAGGACGTATGGCATACGGACCTACAAAAGTGCTTCCAGCTGGCCAGGTCAGTATGCCATACGGACCTGGCATTTACAGTTCTACTATAAGCTGATGGTCGCTTTAGCGACCATCAGCTTATAGTATAACTGTTCAGCAGACTGTCCCCTTTAAATTAATAGCTGTCATCAGCAGCTCAGAAGCCGCTGATGAC